AAATAAATAAATAAATAAATAAATAAATAAATAAATAAATAAACATTAAAAACTAAAAAGAAGGGATTGGATATCCTTGAAGCGGTGGTCTGAGTGCAGGCTGCTATAACAAAAATACCATAGACTCTGTGGCTAACAACGAATATTGATTTCTCACAGTTCTGGAGGCTGGGAGTTCAAGATCAAGGTCCTGGAAGATTCAGATAAGATTTGGTGTCTGGTGAGAACCCATTTCCTTGTTCATAGACCTATCTTACTGTGTCTGCAGATGGCAGAGGGAAGGACCAGAGAGCTTTCTGCGATCTCTTATTATATAAAAGGCACTAATTCCATTCATGAGTGCTCCACCGTCATGGCCTGATCACTACCCAAGTGCCCGATCTCTTAATACCATCACATTGGGGGTTAACATTTCAACATACGAATTTGTAGGGGATACACACAGCCCGTCATAAATGGGCTGCTATGGAGACCTACTAAAGGATAAAGCAACCTGGAGTGCATTTTGGCTCATTTCTTGGCCCCTTCTCTGTTCTTTGTCTCACTATTGATTTGCTCTGTGTTCTGTGAAATAGTTGCTGCTCAACAGGAGAACTCCATGGCCTAGCTCTGAGTGTCCCGCCAGCTTGTAGTGACACTTAAAGGCTGTGAGAGTGTCAGCTTCTCTCTCAATCCTACTGGTTTTTAGCAGGGTGGCCTTAATCACCTCTAAAATTTTATCAGTTTCCTTCCACCCACTTCGAGCTTCATAATGAAGCTTGTCACATATCCACCTGTATATCTGATATATCTACTTGAATATCTAATGGACATCTCAGACTTGTCCACATTAGGTATCTTAACGCATAAACCCCAAATCTGTTCCTCCTTCAGTATTCCCCACCTCAATAGATGGAACTCCATTCTTCCGGGGGCTCAGCCCAGAAAACATGCGGTCCTGTCTGAGCTCTTTCTCATAACTTTCATCCAACCCAGTCAGCTCTATCTTCCAAATCAATCAGAGCACCTTTCCCGACATCCTCTGCTTCTACTCCTGGACAAGCCACAATCACCTTTTTTCCAGATGACTATAATGAGTCCTAACTAGTCTTTCTGTTTCCACTTCTGATGGCTAGTTTTTTTCTCAGCCACACAGAAGGAGTGATCCTTTCAAAAGATGTCGTGTCCGCCATCTGCCCAGAACATTCCAGCAGTGTTCCTTCTTCATAATAAAAGCCAGTGTCTTTGTCACAGCCTACAAGCACAGTAGCCAATAAGTCCAGCTTGCCTGAGTTGGAGGGGTTTCTGGGATATGGAGCTTTCAGTGCTCAACCTTGGGGAAAGTCCCAAGCAAACAGGATGAGTTTGTCACGCTACCTAAGATGGCTTTACGTGATCTGGCCCCCGGCCACCCTCTCACCTCACTCACTCTCCCATTTCTTTGTCCTCACTGGCCTCTTTGCTGCTTGTGGAGTGGAGCAAGCATGTGCCGGGCTCAGAGCCTTTGTCCTGATTTTTCTTTCTTCCTAGAAGTATCTTCTGGTGTAGGAGAGATAAAATTTTACCTCTGCTTTCTTAGGGGTTTTAGCAGGCCTAAGAATTAAATTGACATAAAACAGGTTCATGGGAAAAGAGCATACAATTCATTTATATTTACACGAAGACATATATATTTTTATCTATAGTCATTGAGGTACACCAATGGGTTTTCCGGGACAAAGGTGCCCTCCTAAGGAAATGAACACCCAAAGAAGCAATTGGACTTGAACACTTATGTACCGAGCTGGACAAAGAAGAGTAAACTGTGAAAACAGAACAAGGCAAGGGGGCTGGGGGCCGGGCAGTTAATTGTGGGAAAAAAACTAGGAAGATAAGCGTTAGTTTACAAGGTTTGTACAGAGTTCTCCCCAGCTTTGATGATCCAACGTGGCAAAAATATGACTTTCCTCCTGGTAGAGGGATGATATCTTCCATATGGGGATTTTCTCTCCTGCTTTTCAGGAAGAGAAAGGAGAGGTCAGAGTGCTTTTCTCGCACCTGTTTGTTTTCCCAGTGCCTTTAATCTTGATGTCAGGCACATAGTTTGTGTGGCATGTTCTGCTGTCACTGGACATAGAGTGACATGCTGCATGGCTGCAGACTCCATTCAGGCCTCTGCTCAAATGCCCTCTTATGAAAAGAGAACTTTCCTGACCACCCTATGTGAACGAATACCCCCTCTGCTCATTCTTTCAATTTTTTTTTTTTTTTAACGTTTATTTATTTTTGGGACAGAGAGAGACAGAGCATGAACGGGGTAGGGGCAGAGAGAGAGGGAGACACAGAATTGGAAACAGGCTCCAGTCTCTGAGCCATCAGCCCAGAGCCTGACGCGGGGCTCGAACTCAGGGACCGCGAGATCGTGACCTGGTTGAAGTCGGACGCTTAACCGACTGCGCCACCCAGGCGCCCCTCTGCTCATTCTTTAAAATAGCATATGTATCCCCACCCGTATCGCTGTATATTTATTTTGTTTGTGGTCCTGTCTTCCTCAACTAGAATATAATCCTGTGACAGCAGGGGCTTTGTTTTGTCCCTGAGATGTTCCCTAGCTCCTAGAACGGGGCTGAGAGCTAACAGGTATGCAGGTTTGTTGTGGAGGGAGAG